ATCGCCGTGCAAGGGAAACGTAGTGTCAGTCCTCACAAGAAAGAAGAGTCCACCCGAAATGTTCCCTTCCCGCCGCATGACGTCTGTGTGGAAACTGGTGGCTTGCCGCTTGGTAACGTCAGGGGTCGTGGTCGTGTGCAGCAGCGAGGAGGGGGAGGCGACAATTGGCGTGAACATCCGCTGAATAGTCGCAACAAAGAAAATGTAAGTTTTGGTAACTTTAGAAAAAATATTATGGATAGCAGAAGGCGAGTAGGAAAGGATTAAGAAATTCGTATTTGAAGTTCGGGCATAAGACCAGGAGTGAAACCAGTGAACCTATTGAAATTTCATAGGCTATCACTGTGTGTCTGAGCAGGAAGGTAAAGATCGAGGTGAAATCCTTGTAGATTTGGATCGAAGTAAGGCGCAGTTTGTGCGTTTATGTTTGCCTACTTTCTATAGCTCTAAGTGCAGAAGGCTACTCAGATCACATGTGTAAATTTTTCTGATGCCATAGCTTCCATTCGTCGGGAATTATGAACGCCTGTTCTATCCTTAAAAGAATTTCGTCCAACAGCGTCAGATATTACTAAGTGTTATACGATGACAGAATTTGGTACACGGTAAAATGGTGAAGTTAGAAACTTGTGATAATGAAATCGACTGCAAACCAGATGTGCAGTCGGTATCGTTTGAAAGATTTTTCAAACAGTTGTAATAAGCTATGAACATTCTACAGAACAAAACTCCTGGAATTTAAATTGAAGGGTTGAATTTGCACATGAAAACTACCGGCAATGGTATCACAAAGGAACGAATTCGCGCTTTTTACTTCGGAACAGCTGCAGTGTGGAAAAGATTTTTTGTGCTGTCAAACATACATATGTCACCACAGTGAATGAGCGTTCGAAGCAGACTGTTCCAGTTGGCAGGTCCGCGAAAAAAGCAGATTACAAATTCGGAGTATTCGCTTTATCTTTGCAGTGTTTATATAGTTTTTTTTATTTTATAGATAAAAAATTAATTTGGTTTTATCACTTCGCTGTTAATTGTTTAACCTTTAAAGAGCTGTGAAAATTAAAATCTTTTTGAGAACGCAGGAATAACTCTGTTAAAATGGTTTTTTAATGATTCCGCACTTAAATGCCAGCTATGCAGCAAACTTCATATTTGGAAAAAATGTGTCGATGTTTTGGTCGATCATGCATCGATGATGGTCATTGTTTAAGGGCATTGTCTTGGTACAGGTCCCTCTGTTGAGTGACATTATGCTCTTTCCTTGATTGATTAATCTTGTACCTCATGCCATTGAGGTAAAATATTATCACATATTTATGATTTAATTGAACGTTGTTGTTGCAAAAAGCATAAAAACACGGTTTGTTTATACTTAACGAACGCAATATGGTCAGTCAGATGGCTGACTAGTATCGACCTTCCGACCCGTATCGTAAGGGCTTTGTTTAAATTAGAGAGGGTTGTAAGGTTCGAAAATTGCTTCTGTAGTTCGCACATTTAGCGCTTTGATGTAGAAGATGGAAACGTTGGTAGCGCTCAGTGATTTGAGTGATCATATTGCTGACGCTGCATATAAATATACCGAATTTCTATGCTGTATCCGGTATAATGACGAATGAAATATTTATTCATTATTTATTTGCTCAACACTGTATTCAAATGTCAAATTCTTTGAAAAATCGGTGAAGTTGACTCCTTGCATGCAATGATACGTTGTTTTTCTTTCCAGCATAGTAGTACT